TTGCTATAATATAATAAACTTCACTACCTTTAAATGTATATACATGTTACTTCCTCAACAACATCAAAAAGGCAACAAAAGCACCTTATTAAGATGACAAAAATGTCAAGGTTCCCTATTTACCTCCAATAAAGATAATAGAAGAGTGACATTTTCTTGCTGCTTAATGAAAATTTCTGTGAATTGGCTTCCCAAATCCTCACTCTGTCTTGTGGAATTTTCTTCTGTAATATTCAAAAATAAAGTGTTTTATCATGATGGTAGGTTATTTTAAAATATTCTTTCATTGAAGAGTTAAGCAGAAATGATAATTTTCCTGGTGAACAATTCAACACTGGAACAGTGTGGCTGGTAGCAATATCACAATTATCATATAAAGCTATATCCTTAAAATAATGTTCAAATTCATTTTACTGGTTAAATGTTTATGATATCTAAAAAAAGGATATTTAAATATTCACATTTTCTCAAGGACATTTTTAGGTTAAGCTTCTATTAGGGCATAAGGAAACAATTTGGGATAGAAATATTCTACCTAGAATGTGGTGGTGGTTACACTTTTATATACTTTTGCCCAAACTCAGACTACAATTCAGAGTAAATTTTATTGTATATAAGTCATATCTGAAAACCCCTGCCCCCAAAACAATACACTAATAGTCCTTGCTGATTGTTAGTGTTATTGAGTTAAATAATTTTGAAATTAAACCAACCTACTCCAGATTTCTCAGTATCTTTTTCATATATATATCCTACAAAACTCTTTGGCAGTAAAATCAGAATTTGACACCTAATTTCTCACTTATTTTTTAGAGAACTTTACATTGGTCATCAATGTTTAAATGTTTTTTAATTAAAGTATTTGTTGTTCCAAGGTACTTCGTCAAAAAAAAAAAAAAAAAAAAAAGGATCACTAAAAATGAAAGCAAGAACAGCCAGGGCAAATTACTTAAAATCTGCCTATGTTATAAACTCAAATTAGAGATGCAAACATACTACTTCCCATTTCCTCACCACACCAGACACAGCTAATTAATCATAGCATCAGCTGAGCATCAGAATCATTTTCCATATTACTCCAGTGAGTGACTACAAGCCAATAAAGCTGGCAGTCAAGATCAAAGCCATTATCCCTCAGAAAGTTATTTTCTAAATGTGAGGGAAAAAATCCAGCAGTTGATAGGAAAAGCACAGAAATCCAAGATTGACAGTCATAATCCCATCTAACTGTTTATAGAGGAAAGAGAAAAAAAGAAGAGACCAAAAGTGGAAATGAAATGTTTTTCAGTTGATTAATTATCTAAGTAAGCTGGGTTCATTCTTCAGAAACTCCAAGAAGCATTCCTTTTAATCATCTATCGGTAAAAAAATTCACTGCTTTTGAGCCTTAAAACTATATTATTATCCACACAAAAAATACTTTAGTTGTAAAAGGATTACTCTGCTATATAGAATAGACTGTCAGGGAGTAAGGAAAATAGGGAGACAGGTCAGGAGGCATAATCAAGGTAGGAGTCCCGTGAAGTTGGCTTAGACCTTAGAGGTCATAATTTTTACTAAGAAGGAACATGAGGCTGGGCAGATCACAAGGTCAAGATCACAAGGCTATCCTGGCCAACACGGTGAAACCCCCGTCTCTACTAATACACACACACACACACACACACACACACAAAAGAGGGAACATGATTTGCTGACTTGTTGCACAGAGGAGTGTGGGGGACCGGGTGAAAGAAAAGGAAGAGTGATTCCAAGCTTTTGGCCTAAAGAACTAGAAGGATAGGGTTGCCTTTACCGAGATTGGAAACACTGTGGTTCGAGAAGCAAGCTGGAAGTATACAGAGAAAAAAGTTAAGTTTTGGACATATTAAGTTTGAGATACCTTATAAAAATCCAAGTGGATAAACCAAATAAGAAGTTGGATAAATACTAACATAGACATCTGTGGAGAAGTCTGTGTTGGATACACACATTAGAGTGGCAAACATATAAATGATATTTAAAGTCACAAGATTGGATGACAAGTGCAACTACAAAAACCTTACAGTTAACATCATATTTAATGATGAAAGGACTGAATGTCTTCCCCCTTAAGATCAGGAAGGAGGCAAGAATGTCCAGTCTTGTAAATTCTAGTCAACATTGTACTGAAGATCCTACTCAGTGACATAAGGCAGGAAAAAGAAAAGGCATACTGATGAGAAAAGAATAAGTAAAACTGTCTTTATTTACAGATGACATGTTTGTCTATAAGGAAAATTCTATGGAATCTACAAAAGAGCTAATAGAACTAATAAGTAAGGTTAGTAAAGTTGCAGGATAAAAGGTAATATACAAAATTAATTGTATTTCTATTAATAGATACTAGTAAGGACATCTAGAAATTAAAATTCAAAAACCAGTATCACTTATAACAGCATCAACAAAAAAATTTGACAATAGATGTGTGCTACTTATACTCTTAAAACTCCAAAACACTGCTGAGAGAAATTAAAGGACAGGCCAGGCACAGTGGCTCCCACCTGTAATCCTAGCACTTTGGGAGGCTGAGACAGAATTGCTTAAGCTCAGGAATCCAAGACCAGCCTGGGCAATATAGTGAGAACTTGTCTCTACAAAAAATAAAAAATTAGGCTGGCATGGTGGTGCATGCCTGTAGTCCCAGCTACTCAGGAGGCTGAGGTGGGATGATCCCTTGAGCCCAGGAGTTTGAGGCTGCAGTGAGCTATGATTGCACCACTGCACTCTAGCCTGGGTGACAAAGTAAGACTCTGTTCCAAAAAAGGAAAAATAAAACAAAAAAGAATTAAAGAAGACCTACAAAAATAGAGATACACTGTGTTCTTGTATTAGAAGGTGCAATATTTTTATGTCGGTTTTTCACAAATTGATCTACAGTCAACGGAATCTCAATCAAATTTTCAGTTGACCTTTTTTGTAGAAATTAACTAGCTGATTCTAAAATTGGTAAGCAAATGTAAAAAACCTAAAACAGTCAAAGCTATTCTGAACAACAAAGTTAGAGGACTTAATACTACGTAATTTCAAGATTTATTATACAGCTACAGTAATCAAGATGATGCCATGTACAGACCAACAGATGAGAAAAGTCCAAAAATAAACTCATTCACTCAAAATGGATAATGGACCTATGTGTAAAACTAGAAATTTATTACAGGCTTAATTATAAGAGTTATGAAACTTTTAAAAGAAAACACAGGAGAAAATCTTAGTGATCCTAGATTTGGCAAAGATTTCATAAATAAGATACAAAAAGTCTAAGTTATAAAAGAAAAAAATTGACAAAATGGACCCAATCAAAATGTTATTTTTGCTATTCAAAAGAAAGAAATGTCACAGACTAAGAAAAAAAATTTGTGAAATATATGTCACAAAGTTCTTCTAAGAACAGAACACACAAAGAACTATTCCAACTCAAGTATGAGACAACCCAGTAAAAAACAGGCAAAAGATTTGAATGAAACACTTCACCAAAGAAGAAAGACATACGGATGCAAAAAAAAAAAAAAAAAATCACATACGTTGTTCTACATCCATTCACTAAGAAAATACATATTAAAACTACAATGTGATGCTGCTACACGTGTATTACAACAGATGAAATTTTAAAAAGCTGATTATACCAAGTGTTGGAGAATATGTGGAAGAACTGAGACACACACTATGGGACGAAATGTAAAATGGTACAAATACTTTGAAAAATGTTTTAGCAGCTTTTTAGAGTCAAACATAAACCTACTATATCACTTAGCCATTCTGTTCTGAAGAGAAAAACATATTCACACATGAATGGTATGTAAATGTAGCATTCATAAACAGAACACAAAAAGATTAAATTGCAAAATAAAATATTTGCTAAAAATAGATCTAATACAAATTTGATAACAAAAAACTGGAAAACAATCCATATGCTAATAAGAGGATGAATTAAAAAACTGTAATATATCCAAGCATATAAATTATATTTATAGTTACAAACCTAGATGAGATCAACAAGGGAGAAAAGGGGAAATGAAAGAAATCTGTGCCTTGTGGCATTCCAATATTAACAGGTTGGGGAGATGAGGAGGAAAACTGTGAAGGAGACAAAAAGTAACCAATGAAAAGGGAAGAAAGCCAGGAGACTTCAGAGACTGACAAACAAATGAAGAAAGTATTCAGTGAGAAAGGAGTGACTGACTGTCAAATATTTATGATAGGCAGAATCCCCTCTGAACTTAACATGACCAAGAAATGAAGTGCATTACTAACACAGGTACAGGTAATTTCTGTTCCTTTACAGAATGACTAGAGTGGAGTAGTGAAATACTTTCCTGAGTAGCAGTACAATATAATGGAAGAAACTCACAAAGACTTTTGAGTAAGACCAGTTAAACTCATATTCAACCACTTAATAGCCATGTTACTTTGGGCAAGTAGCCTAACTGTCAAGTCTCAGTTCCCTTATTTGTAAAATGTAGACAATGTCTTCACATGGGGTTTTCTGTGAGGATTTAGAATAAGTAAAACATCTAGCATAGGGCTTGGTAAATAATGTGCTCAATAAATAGAAGCATCATTATCATCATCACCATTGTCAAAATCATCATCCCTAAGACAGGATTTTTCAACCTTGGCACTAATGACATTTCTGACCAGGTAAGTCTTTGCTGTGAGACCTCTCTATGCAGTTTAAGATGCTAAGCGCTGTCCCTGGTCTTCCACTAGCCACAGTAGCACTCTCTTACTTCCTCTTAGTGTGACAACCAAAAATGTCTCTAGACATTGCTGAAAGTACCAGGAGTAGGGTAAAGGAGGGTAAACTGCCCTCACTTGAGAACCATGATCGTAAGATTTACAACGTAAGCTATATATGTATTACTAAGTTTTCAAATGAAACAGAATATAAGTCTTCCTTTGATGATTCAGAAAGAATTTTGGATTCTTATAAGCTTACCATTAATGAGTATTATCACCAAGATGCAAAAGATGTGAAAAAAAAAAGTATATCCTGTATTTCCAAAAAGTTGTCTGTGAATAACTCTTGATATTTTACCTTATATTTCTGTCTTTCTCCTAAAAGTTGTATGCAAAAATCAAAAAAAGGAACTGAGTTTATGATTGGACTCTAAATAAAAGTAAATTCATTGTATTTTTATTAAGGTTTTATTTCTTTTTTTTTTTTTGAGACAGAGTTTCACTCTTGCTACCCAGGCTGGAGTGCAATGGCGTGATCTCGGCTCACCGCAACCTCCGCCTCCCGGGTTCAGGCAATTCTCCTGCCTCAGCCTCCCAAGCAGCTGGGACTACAGGCACGTGCCACCATGCCCAGCTAATTTTTTGTATTTTTAGTAGAGACGGAGTTTCACCATCTTGCCCAGGATGGTCTCGATCTCTTGACCTCGTGATCCACCCGCCTCGGCCTCCCAAAGTGCTGGGATTACAGGCTTGAGCCACCGCGCCCGGCCTTAAGGTTTTATTTCTTAGCTTAGTGGCAGCTTCAGAAGAATTGTATAGGGAAGCAGTCACTACTTCCACTTCAGGAAAACAGGTAAAGGAGAGGATAAAAGGATTAAAAAAAAAAAAAAAAACACCAAAAGTACACTTGAAAACTATCATGTTACTACATAATAACAGACATATTGAGGGTATTCAGGTGGCAGAGGGTTGATGCTACAAAGGCCTGATAATAATCATAAGGAAGCCTAATACTCAAACACAACTAGAGTGGATTCAAGGGACATTCTCTGCTACACATCTGCGTAAAGGATTTCCTGTTGTTCCTTTGTGAACTGATAACATTGTTTCCTAATTACTTACACACACTTGAAGGTAAAATCTTGCTTTGTAAATTGTGATTTTCAAAGTTCGAAGGTGAATTTAGGAATGGAGTTGGAAAAAAAAAAAAAAAAAGAAAAAGAAACTGGTACCAGGTAAGTAGCAAGAACTGCACACCTGTCCCATTTTATTTGCACGCTAACAGGATGATAGAAAAGGAGACTGAAAAAATTGGAAAAGATATGGGAACTTGGAAGCTGACAGAATCTTTTGAAAACTTTCATCTTCAGAATCATCTATGAACAGAAGTCCTGATTCCCACAGTATGGAGAACGCTATATACCCAATAAAATCTCAAAAGAGCTGGTGGGCTCATGAGTCTATCTTGTTTTTTAAGACATTCTAGAATCCTAAGGAATTATGGTTATGTTAGCCAAATTCTACTGAAATTGTAAAATAAAAAAGCAGATAAAGAAATTATACAAAAAGGGCCCATGGGGAATGCATGTCAAGTAAATTGCTCTCCCAGTACATGAGAAATCTATATTCAAAAGACAGGTCATATTCTCTCAGAATTGTCTCCCTCTAGAAATTAAAATCACAGCAACATTAACTTAGTCATGAGTGCTTTGCAGAGCTATTTTCTATTTGCATATATTCATATTTGTTGAATGAGATATATAACTTAAAAATGAGTTTGAAAATAATTTATAACTATTTTTATTTCAGTGGTGTGAAGATAGTAGAGAATGAAAACTTGACTATAAACAAAAGACAGTAATGTGAGTGAGTGAAGCAGGCTAACATGAGCAGATAGAGGGTATATGCCCTATCTAAGGAAAACAGCAGTTACTCAGTTCCAGCTGCCTGGCATGTAGGAGTGCAAATCCAGGTATTGTCAATCTTCAAATTAAAAAAAAAAAAAAAAAAAAAAAAAAAAAAGAAGTCTAAAATACAAACATTGACACAAAGCTCCCAATTTATAATACTGGCAACTTATTCACATTACTTAAAATACTATGGGGGTCAAACAGTCTTGCTTACAAGATAGACAATATCCTTGGGCCAAAGGTTTGTGACCTCATGCGAAAAGCTCAAAATTGAAGTTACTGACATTTGAGAAAACACTAACAATTGTAAACTAATCTAAAAAGGAAGAAAAAACAATACATATAGACTTGATGGATTCTTCCTCTAAAATGTATTTTAAAATGCTGAAATATTTGTATGTATGTAAACACAACTAACCAACCCTTGGTTAGTATAATTCAAAACACAGGATAAAAAACAACAACAACAACAACAAAAAACACAGGATAGTGTGGCATGTTAACAGGTAAGTGGCAGAAGTAAGCCCCTGTGGACAAATATATTTGAATTAAACAAAGTTGAACAGGTTTCTTCACTGCAGGCTTTTCAGTATTTACTATACTGATGTAAATTTTATGAAGCTTCAGAGGGGATTATAATATTTATGTTTATTTAACTATAAACCTGTTTTAATACAGAGCACTCTCTAGAACTTCTGTGCTATACTATAAAGAATTCAGGTCTAATATCAGAAAAAGTTTAACTCAGTGTTTGCACTGGGCACAATCAAATAACTTAGCAAGAAGAGGAGTTAATACCTTTGATTTATTCTGTAGCTATATTGTATAAAATACCGTAGCTTATTGGTATATAATTAAAATTTACATTTTGAATTGAACTAGTAAAATATGGTCCTGTTCCAAGGATCAATGGTTCCTTCTGGCTTAATACTGTCAATTTTAAAAAGTGTTAGTGAGATATATGCTACTTCTTTTACGTTACAGTCATAAGACAGCACTTCTGAACTTTAATGAAGTATCCCCAAATTAGCTAAGCAATTAAGGTAATACACAAAGCTTTCAATGTAGCAGTAAATTAAGCTATAAACTACCACACTAAGATCTAAAAGTTGTGAACAAAAACTAGAACCATGAGAAATTATACCTATTATACGTGTAGGCAAAGGCATAAAACAAGTAAACCATCTTCCCTCATCATTAATCATTAGATTACAACCTTTAGAGTTAAGTTTTTTATAGCCTATAGTTTATAAACTATATTGTGTATTTATAACCTGTAAAAGTAAATGACCACTTATTGTAAGGTAAATGAAAAAACAAGATAAAAATGAAATGGCCCTTTGTTACCATGGTAAAAATGAATTTAAGATAGTTATGTAAAATAAAAACATGCCCTTTCTAAGTACTTACACAGATGCTCCTCAACTTAACAATGGGGTTATGTCCTGATAAACCCATTGTAAACTGAAAATATCATAGGTTGAAAATGCATTTAATATGTTTAACCTACTTTAAATGTGCCCAGAACACTTACATTAGTCTACAGCTAGACAAAATTTAACAAATCCTATTTTATAATAAAGTATTTGAAGTCTTGAAAATGGCCTATAGAAAAAAAGAAAAAAAGAAAAATAAAAGGAAAAGTATTAACTATCTCATGGAATTTGCTGAATACTGTACTGAAGGCGAAAAAACAAAATGGGGCCAGGCACGGTGGCTCACGCCTGTAATCCTAGCACTTTGGGAGGCTGAGGTAGGTGAATCACAAGGTCAGGAGTTCGAGACCAGTCTGGCCAACATGGTGAAACCCTGTCTCTACTAAAAATACAAAAATTAGCTGGGCATGGTGGCAGGCACCTGTAGTCCCAGCTACTCAGTAGGCTGAGGCAGGAGAAGTGCTTGAACCCAGGAGGCGGAGGTTGTAGTGAACCAATATCATGCCACTGCACTGCAGCCTGGGCGACAGAGTGAGACTCCGCTTCAAAACAAAAACAAAAACAAAAACAAAACAGAATGATTGTATGGTACTCGAAGCACAGTTTCTATTTCTACTGACTGCATATCACTTTCACACCATCCTGAGTTAAAAAATTGTGAAGTCGAAGCATCATCTAACTGTATAGCTCTGGATCGTTTTCAGGTCTGTTTATATGACTGGCATTTAAGTACGCATGCATAGATATATTTACTCTTAAAATGTATTTCTAATAGTACTTTTTCCAGAGGTATAAACAATATTTAAAAACATTTCTGGGCCTTCTCTTTGGAATTCTACTCTGTACTACACAACTTGTATTATGAATAGAAACTGCTGTATAAAAGGAGCTGTCCTAATAAAAACAGTCCTAACTCAGAGTGAAGAAATATCAAATAATCTTCTTTTATACTGGTAAACAGGTACACGTATACTTTTTAACATTTATCTGAATATTCTATAAACTAGTTATGTGAATTATATGATTTAATAAAGAACCCAGTCAGAAAAATAAAATTGGCCACAACTTATTAAATTGGAAATCTAAGAAATACTTTTTAAAAAAAGGAAGGAAAAAATGTATTAAAAAATAGTGTACTGGCTGGGTGCAGTGGCTCGCGCCTATAATCCCGGCACTTTGGGAGGCTGCAGCAGGTGGAGGTCAAGAGATAGAGACCATCCTGGCCAACATGGTGAAAACCCGTCTCTACTAAAAATACAAAAATTAGCTGGGTGTGGTAGTGCATGCCTGTAATCCCAGCTACTCAGGAGGCTGAGGCATAAGGTTGCAGTGAGCCAAGATCACACTTCTGCACTCCAGTCTGGTGACAGAGTGAGACTCTGTCTCAAAAAAGAAAAAAAAATTGTTCTTCTACTTACTCAATGATACCATATAAGTTACATCATCCCTGGGCTTCCATTTTCTCATCTTTAGAAAGGAGAAAAATACCACCTACCTTACTTGCTGCTATGAAGATTACATAAGATAAACATGACAGGACTCTATAAATTTTAAAGCTCTCTACAAATGTGATATAATAACAGTAGAAACAACTACTGTTTCTACAAATAGCTTGACAAGAGTCAAGGCACAATCCTCTGCTATCTTCTGATTTCAAAGAATTAATTCAAATGTTGTAAAAGGTAATGCTTCATACTTTAACAAGTCAGTTTCTTTGTTAGTATTTTTATTATATACAGGCAACTTTGTTTTGTACCATTTAAACACTGCTTTAGATAAGAATATTTCCCTTTTCATTTAAAAAAGCTAAGCACCTCAGGAAAACTGGTAAAACAAAACAAACCAAAAAAACTTGGTTACTTTAGTTATAAAGAAAACAGATTCAATGTTAAAAGTAAATGAAACTTGAAAGAGATCATCAGAGAGAAGAAAATAAAAAAAATATTAGTGAGTTCTAAGAGTTAACGTAAGAAATGTCAGTAATTAAAACATCATTACTGAACAAGCATTATTTTAAAGGGACAATATCAATATACATTCTCTGAATTAAAATTCCTTCCAGTTCTTATTGAATATAGGTAAAAAAAAATATGTATATGTATATGTATTCGAATATTACTTTTACAGGTTTTTATTTTTTTGATTTGTAGAGGCAGGGTTTTACTATGTTGTCCAGCCTGCAGTGCAGTCACTATTCACAAGTGCAGTCAGTCATTGCTCCATTGCTTACTACAGCCTTGAACTCCTGGGCTCAATTAATCCCCCCGCCTTTGCCTCCCAAAGTACTGGGATTAAGTACTGGGATTACAAGTGTCAGCCACCATGCCTGGCCAGAGAAAGCTTTAATTTTATTTAAAGGTGTGCTAGAATATTTTATGTGTTCAGGACAGTAAACAGATTTAGTAGCTGTAGAAATAACAGTAATGTGGCAAGGCATGATGGCTCATGCCTGTAATCACAGCACTTCGGGAGGCTGAGGTAGGCAGATCACGAGGTCAA